TGGCCTGCCGCTATCATATGAGACGCCTGTCACCGCGTCTCCATATCCACTCCCGGAAGAGCTAGTGCTAACCATCTCGCCTGTCATCGCGTCTTCCGTCTCCAGTCCTGAAAGGCCTAGTGTTGACCATCTCACCAGTTGTGCTCGTTTGCCATCCGACTGTTCATTTCCATTCCAATTAAGACTGAAGATTAAGAACTGAAGTATAACTGCACTTTATAGGGGGCTATCTGCAATAACAATAACAATTGCACTGCCAATATATTGCAATAACAATAGCAATTGCACTACCAACTGCACTTTATACCATCATCCCTGTACCGAATTGTGCTGCTAACTTTGTCCAACCTTAGCACTTTAATTGGCTAATCTGTTGTCTGACACCTGGATACCAGCCCCTCCTTGTCACACTTTATCTAGCACTTTAGTTCTGACATCGATTTAACCCGTTACACTTTAATAACTATATATTGGTTTGCACATCGATACGGTTATCTATATGTACTTTATGAACTTGGCTAGACTTTAGAGAAAGCGTCCTAACACCCATTACCTATGCAGCCCCCCATCCTCTGGTATTTGATAATCTTGCTGCTAATTGACTGTGAAAGGGATTGGGGGCGGAGCAGGCTGGAGAGATCTGGAAACAACATAGCAGGGGTGGGTAATGTGGAGAATGGAGGATTATGGCAAGTTGTTACCCCATCAAATCAAATAACTAATAACGAACCATGGGTAGAAGTTATGGATGTGCAATGCGGCATGGAGGAGGGGGGTGTCCCGTCAGCCGAGGGGCCCCCATAGAAGTTGTGGTGGGGAAGGGGAGATGCAGGAAAAGGAGACCATTAATTCGGCCTAGGGATCGTGTAACAACATTAGTAATTCCAAATCGGTCTCCTGATATGGTAAACTGGTGTAACCAGGAGGGTGGTCCCTCAGGATTGAAGGTGGTGCTGCTGAACGCCAGATCTGTCAATGGAAAAACAACCGGCAGATCTGGCGTGCATTACGGAGACCTGGTTGGACGAAGCTGGAGGCGTGAATCTGACCCAGCTTTGCCCGCCAGGTTTTTCCGTGCAGCACCAGCCGAGATCCGGAGGGTGGGGAGGCGGGGTTGCAGTGGTCTATAAAGATTCCATCCCTCTGACCAGGGGCCCCATCCTGCAGTCAACAAATTTTGAATGCGTTCACCTGAGGGTGGGAGACCGGGACAGAATAGGGATTCTGTTAGTGTACCGACCACCTCGCTGCACTACATCTCCCTACCTGAGCTAGCGGGGGTAGTCTCGGACTTGGCATTGGAGTCCCAGCGGCTCCTTGTGCTGGGGGACTTCAATGTCCATGCCGAGACTGCCCTATTGGGTGCGGCTCAGGACTTCATGTCTGCCATGGCAACCATGGGGCTGTCCCAACAGGTATCTGGCCCCACCCACAGTGCAGGACACACATTGGACTTGGTTTTCTGTCAGAGATGGGAGGAAGGTGGCGGTATTGAGGAGTTGACCATCTCTCCGTTGCCATGGACCGACCACTACCTGGTCAGATTTAGGCTTACTGCAACCCCTAACCTCTGCAGAGGTGGAGGACCCATTAAGTTGGTCTGCCCCAGGAGGCTTATGGATCCAGAAGGATTCCTGACGGCTCTTGGGGAGTTTCCCGCCCCCTCGGTAGGTGATCCTGTCGACGCCCTAGTCGCTCTCTGGAACGGGGAAATGACTAGGGCGATAGACACGATCGCTCCAGAACGTCCCCTCTCAAGTAGCCGAGCTAAACCAGCCCCTTGGTTTACTGAGGAGCTGGCAGCGATGAAGCGAAGAAAGAGGGAACTAGAAAGCGTGTGGCATTCGGAACCGAGCGAGCCAAATCGAACACGGTTTGTGTCCTTTTTAAGGGCATATGCCGCGGCAATAAAAGCCACAAAGAAATCTTTCTTTGCGGCCACTATTGCGTCTGCAAAGAACCGTCCGGCTGAGCTGTGTCGAGTTGTCCCACTACCCAGAGTGGGAGCCCTGACAATTCGGCTACTCGCTGTGAAGCATTTGCTCGGTTCTTTGCAGACAAAGTTGCTTTGATCCATTCTGGTCTGGATACCATGTTAAAGGCAGTCTCTGAGGATGTAACACGAGCACCTGCTTGTCCAGTTTTGATGGATTCATTTCAATTGGTGAAACCCGAGGATGTGGACAAGATACTTGGAGGAATGAGGCCTACCACATGCATCCTAGACCCCTGCCCATCCTGGCTTCTAAAAACGGCCAGAGGGGGATTGGCTGAGTGGATTACGGTGGTGGTTAATGCCTCCCTTTGGGAAGGCAAGATTCCAGCGAGCTTAAAACAAGCTATAATAAAACCGCTGTTGAAAAAACCATCACTGGACCCCACTAAATTCGACAACTATCGGCCAGTTTCCAATCTCCCCTTTTTGGGCAAAGTCCTGGAACGTGTGGTGGCCTCACAACTCCAGGTATTCTTGGTAGACACGGATTATCTGGATCCGGCACAGTCTGGCTTTAGGCCGGGACATGGAACTGAGACAGTCTTGGTCGCCTTAGTGGATGATCTGCGCCGGGAGCTCGACAGGGGGAGTGTGTCCCTGTTGGTGCTGCTGGACCTCTCAGCGGCCTTCGATACCGTCGACCACGGTATCCTTCTGGGACGCCTCGCAGGAATGGTTCTTGGAGGTACTGCTCTACAGTGGCTCCAGTCCTTCCTCGAGGGTCGCTCCCAGAAGGTGTTACTGGATTCCTGCTCAGCCCCACGGCCATTGTACTGTGGGGTCCCGCAGGGCTCAGTACTGTCCCCTATGTTATTCTAGATATACATGAAACCGTTGAGGAGAGATCATCCGGAGTTTCGGACGGTGTCATCTGTACGCAGATGATGTCCAACTCTGTCACTCCTTTCCACCTGCTACTAAGGAGGCTGTCCAGGTCCTGAACCGGTGCTTGGCCGCTGTGACGGTCTGAGGGCGAACAAATTGAAATTGAATCCAGACAAGACAGAGGTACTCCTGGTCAGTCGCAAGGCCGAACAGGGCATAGGGTTACAACCTGTGCTGGATGGGGTCGCACTCCCCCTGAAGGCGCAGGTTCGCAGCTTGGGTGTGATCCTGGATTCACCACTGAGCCTGGAACCCCAGGTTTCAGCGGTGACCAGGGGAGCATTCGCACAGTTAAAGCTTGTGCGCCAGCTGCGCCCATACCTTGGGAAGTCTGACTTGGCCAAGGTAGTCCACGCTCTTGTTTAGGCTTGGGTAACTACGGAAAAATTTGGTTCTAAACTCGTTTCCTTTTTAGGGTGTTTTTGCGTTTCGTTTTTTAAAAGAATTCTGAAGTTTTACTTTTAAAAAGTTCGGAATATACGAAATTTCGTAAAATTATGAAACAATTAAAACAATTACGAATCGATTCGTTAATGGTGGACGCGATTGCGCAATATGCTAAAAAACCCTCCAAATGGGACAGGGGGAACTTCTGAAGCTTCCCTCTCCCTCTGTTGTTGACTGTTGGTGTGATAATTTATTTTTTTTATCACTGATAAAACAAACAACAACTATAAAACTTGCACCAGACATACGGAAATAATAACGAAACAATTTCAAAACAATTTCGAAACAATTACGAAACAATTTCGAAACAATTTTGAAATAAATTGAAAAGATTGTTTCGATTTTTAATTACTCCTGCATGGCTCAATATCGGATCATAAGCTAATTTAAATACGAATTAATAACGAATCACGAAATTAACGCACGAAACTGCCCAAGCCTACTCTTGTTACATCCCGTTTAGACTACTGCAACGCTCTCTACTTGGGGTTGCCATTGAAGATGGCTCGGAAGCTTCAATTGGTCCAGCGTGTGGCAGCCATGATACTAACAGGGGCGGCACACAGGGAGCATACAACCCCTCTGTTGTGCCAGCTCCATTGGCTACCAATTTGCTACCAGGCCCAATTCAAAGTGCTGGCTTTGGCCTATAAAGCCCTAAACGGTTCTGGCCCAAGTTACCTATCCGATCGCATCTCCACCTACGAACCCACTAGGACTTTGAGATCTTCCGGGGAGGCCCTGCTCTCGATCCCGCCTGCAACACAGGCGCGGCTGGCGGGGACGAGAGACAGGGCCTTCTCGGTGGTGGCCCCTCAGCTGTGGAACGCCCTTCCCACAGACATCAGATTGGCCCCCTCATTGATGGTATTCCGGAGGAAAGTGAAAACCTGGTTATTTGAACAGGCGTTTGAATAAGCAGTGCAATGAATTTCAGGAAATGGAACTACGACTGATGAGTTTGGATCATGATTCTAGGTATGAGACGCCACTGAATGTTTATTACTGTTAAATTGTTTAATTTGTTTTTGTGTTAACTGTTTTTAAGTACCTTGTTGATGCCGCATTGAATTTTTGCCTTGATTGTTCGCCTTGTTTTTACTTGTTGTAAACCGCTATGAGTCGCCTTAGGGCTGAGAATGGCGGTATGCAAATGAAGTAAATAAATAAATAATAAATAAATTGGTTGGTCATTCCTCAAAGGCATGCTGGAACAGCCAGGTTTTTAGGCTCTTCCTAAAGGCTGCCAGCGTGGGCGCTTGCCTAATCTCTCCAGGTAGTGAGTTCCAGAGTTGAGGGGCCACCACAAAGAAGGCCCTCTCCCTTGTCCCCACAAGTCTCACTTGCGATGAAGGTGGGAGCGAGAAGAGGGCCTCCCCAGAAGATCGAATGGATTGTGCAGGTTCGTAGAACAAATAAATTAATCAGATGATGGATAAAAGTTAAATTTCATTATCCAGAAAGGGGCTGTATATAGACAGCTACAATACCTATACGCTAGGGTGGTTGGGTTTTCAAGAGTACTAAGAATAACTACAGCTAATAAACACCAGATTTATGGCACAACCAACATTTATTGCCAGCAGATATCCCAAACCATACATAAATGCTTAGCAAATGAATAAATTTGTTTTCATTAATTTGGAGTTGTTAAACAAACCTGACACACAAATTAGTTGAAGTTAGTTTGATCATTTCAAGAGAAACATCTCCTAAATGTGTGTTTAGAGAAACTGTATTTCTGCTTGACTGAGTAAGCATATATCCAAATTTTAGGTAGATTAAATACATTTCTAAGTATCAAGAGACAACCCATTTTTTTAAAAAAAAAGTTTATTAATTTTGGTGCTTTGAAACATTGACAAAATTGGATGCAAGCATATTTTTGGGGATCTATAACAACTGCCTTCCAATGTATTTGTTGATATTTGTTTAGGAAGTTTATATGTTGCTATTCACAACTATGCAATTAATCCACAATGTGAAGTGGCATTTGAATAACTTTACCTTTGTCATCTTCAACTAAATACACTTCTTAGATAGGCCAAAAATATTCCCCTGCTTGCATAAGGACACTCACACATGCATAAAACATCAACAGAATACCAGCCATACTGTGGGAAATCCTGGCCATGATTTTTCCATTCCTTACCTGGTTTGACACCAGAAAAAAATTCTGAATTTCTGCAATTAGGTAGCCTAAGATAATTCCATCGGTTTCAACATATCTTCTTGGTTCCAAATGTATTTTTTATTTTTACAGGCCCAGGAAAACTTTGTGCTTCCAAGTGTCTTTGTTTAAACTCCTAGGGATGCCAGGTAGTTTGACCAAGGGTAAGGGATTATGAGAGCTGTAGACCCAAATATCTGGAAGTATTGCAGCACAGTCACCTATTTGACACCTGAAATGCTGCAAATGCTCCCCTCTCATCCCTTTTATAGCTTCCCAGTCATCTGATATTTGTTATTAGCCGCCCCCTATTTTAGATTCATACATGCACTTTAAACTGTAAGTTTAGTCTGTTTTATCTTTTTAATTTGTCTCTTTTATAACATGTTTTTAATCTGCTTTTAATCTGTTTTTATACCTGATCTACTTGGGAACTGTGATTCCCTTCCTTGGGCACCGATGCCCCATTCTGTACTGTGCTGGTCAAAGACCGTAATAAATCATTGATTGATTGATTGATTGACACCTTTTCACCCAAAATGAAGAGCTAATCTGTTCAAGAATAGCTCTGCCAACAGGACTCATTTAAGCAATTTAAAGTTTTTTTTAAAAAAAAGTATGCAGTAACATTCCGTGAACTGGGATGTAGCAGATCGTTCAAGAGGCTCAGGGAGCATGTGGCTACCAGATAAGACATATTTACATGGTAGAAAATTGTCCCCAGGGGGTCCAGCCTGAGTAGTTCAGCATGCCAGCCAAGATGGGGATATGAGCAAACATCACCATGCAGCAGTCTAATCAGCCTGCCCAAGGTGCACCAGAGGCAGCTGAGGATACCTCCACCAGGCCCTGGGGTACTATCCCTACTGCCAATGTTGAATCTAGGTCAGTGGGACATTTGGGAGTAGTCCCTGTCTTTCAGATTACCCCACCTGCTTTTCTCATTGGCCAATCAGCCCCCGGCATAGTCACCTCTTTGTGGGGGCCTCCTAGCAGTTGACAATGGAAGCACTGTTATTAATCATCCACAGTTGCCAGCTCCCCAATGAGGAATGGGGCCTTTTGTTGAAGGTGTAACTGCCAAGTAAGCCCTGTAGTTCACTCACCTGAGCTATCTGGAAGTGAACTGGTGGTGATTCACCAGCAAGGGGTTGGGGACTCAGTATCCCCCCTTACCAGTGTATGAGGCTATACCACCAGGAAATTTAAGCATGGACTTGGGAGGCTACCTCACCTTGAACACCACTGACAAGGTATTAAAAGGTGAGTTTATGGATATGTTCTCCTTCTTACACAGGGAGGTGGAAAAGGCAGCCTGGAAAAAGTTAGATGACAAGGAGTGGGAAAAAATTAAAAGATGGAAGACTGACAGGACATGGTGTAACTGACTGGTGAGTTTTATTATTTACATGTGGATCATAGGGTTCAACCTTGGAAGTCTTATGCCTTGGCATAGTATTTAGATATCATTCAGAGGACTTATGTTGATTATGCAGGCCTGATGTGGCTTGCCTATGATGAGGCCTTTCATGTGAAAGCAGCAGCATCTCCAACTTTGCAGTGAGATAGACCTGTTGCAGGGCTTTGGATCCCCAGTTTATGGGGACAGGGTGCACAGAAGGCATCTGATGTCCAAAGCTGGTTTTATTTTGGGACACAGGGAACATTCAATATGCAGCCATGTTAACATTGACAGATACTTCTTGTGTCGAGGGCCCATTGCTTTCAGAATTGTATGAGAGGGCATGGTAACCTCTGAGTGAAAGACCAAGATAGCAAGGGGAACCAAGGGGGAGGACAATTTCCTCAAAAATGGTCCCATATTCGTTAAGTTAAAAATGTTGGCAGTCTTGCTGGTAGAATACCCTAACCGTTTAGCAGCCAGTTATATCTTTAAGGGTTTTTCTGTGGGTTTTCTCATACTTTTTCAAAGGTTTAGGAGACAATTTTTGTCCTTAATTCAGTTGTCGGGATGGAGGACATCATACAACAAAATATTGAAAAGGACGTGTGGGAAGGGCATGTTGTTGGCCCCTTTGCATCCCCATCCAACCCAAATCTAAGGGTCTCCCCAGTGGGGATAGTTCCAAAAAGGCCCCCAGATGAATCTTTTTCCTCATTCACCATCTCTTTGACTGTGAGGGCCAAGTTTTGTTCTGTTGGGTATACTTCTTTTGATGATGAGGCAAATTTACAAGTTTGCAAGAAAAGCCTGGGTGCAGAGCTTGCCAAATGTAATATAAAGTCAGCTTTTCAGCTACTCCCTGTGCATCCATGAGACTTTGAGTTGTTAGGGTCTTGCCTTGATGGTGCCTTCTATATAGACAGAGCCTTGCCAGTGGGATGCTTTATGTCTTGTAATGATTTTGAGCAGTTATGTTCTTCTTTGGAACGGACCATCAAAAGCAGAACCGGCTGGAATAGAATGGTGCATCATTTAGATGACTGCATGCCTACAGTGCAATAAGGGTCTTTGGACCATAATAAAATGTTATTGTTGTAAAAAAAAACTAGATGACTTTCTCTTCATTGGTGAGGCTGGCACAAAGCAATGCTGGGATTTGATGCGCAATTCCAGGTAATGGCTGAAGAGTTGGGAGTGCCAGTAGCATAGGAAAAAAATGGAGGGTCCAGCTACAGTATTTACAATTTTTGGTATTGAAATAGACACGGTACCCAAAGTTGTTGCTTGCTGGCTGACAAGCTTGAGTATCTTAATTGTAAGTCGGAACATTTCCTGGGAAACAGGAAGACTACACCCAAGGAGTTCCAGGAGGCAAATGGCCACCTTAACTTTGCTTGTTGGGTGGTACCTCCAGGTATAGCCTTCTTCAGTCACTTACGCAACTCTGCCTGTGGTGTGAACTTATTAACATTGAATGAATTCCTAGGCTCCTTTAATTGAGTCTTCTTTAGGAGGGAGGAGTTCAGACTGGGAGCCTTACAAGTTGCGTCTGATGTGGCTGGGTTCATTGCTTTTGGCATCTGTTTTAAAGGGCACTTGGTGGACTGCCACTGGAGTGTTACTTGACATAACCTTTTGGGAATTTTTCACAATAGTAGTATTGGTATGGTTATGGGCTAAGGATTTTTCCATCAGTACTGCTCAAATTTGGTGTGATAATCCTGCCACTGTCCAAGTCATCAATTCTATGACCTCTCATTAATCAAGGACAATTAATTTGGTCCAAAGATTTGTATCACAATGCCTCTGATTTAACGTCTTGCTCACTGCATTCCACATAGCCAAAGCTGACAATGGTGTAGCTGATGCTCTCTCTCTCCAACAAATGGACTGCTCAGGAAATTTGCTCTGGGGGCTGTGGGGTCACCTACAGTGATGCCTTACAATCTGTGGAGCCTTGCCAGGATGAAGTTAACTGAGCCATCGGTATAGCTTTAGCTAGTAGAAATAGACTGGGTTATCATAAGGCTAGTGAAGAGTCTAAAAGTTTTAGATTTGGTTATTGGCTTGGCAATGCTTGTCCCATTACAGTTGATCACATCCTCCAATTCTATGCATACTTACATGGGAAAGGTTTGGCCCCAGCCTCAGTTAGGAATAAGCTTGCTGCACTAGCATTTGCTTCTCAGGCACAGGGAAATCAATATCTGACCAATGTTTTTAGGGTATGGAAAATTAGAGGTGGTCATGGGGAAAAGGGCCAGTGCATGATAGGTGGGCACCAATGGGCCCATCAACATTACAGGGTCTGACAAGAGTTTGGCCTAATATTTGTCATCCCCCTTTTGAAACACTGCTGGTTTATGCAATGGCTCTCCTGCCTTTTCCGGAGCTCTGAGGGTGAGTAAGGTAGTGGTTAAATCTATTAGAGGTGGTTCAGGTAAAGTGTTGGGAATGCAGGACCTAGAATTGTAGCTGGGTCGTGCAATTCTACATATGCAATATTCCAAAATGGATCAAAATGGCAGAGGGGCTCAAGTGGTTTTGCAAATCTGTAGTCAGGAGGAACTCTGTTCTGTTAAAGCTTTCATATGATATATGGAGGCTAGGGGAAGGGACCCAGGTGTCTTCTTCAGGCATGTAGATTCCCTCCCTCTTATAATATACCAATTTTGGAAGATTACATCTATCAAATTGCAAAAACTATGTTTGCAGGGGGTCAATTTTGGAACACACTTTTCAGAGTTGGGGCAGCCTCCACAGCAGTGGCTATGGGATCCAGTTCCCTAGACATACAGTGCATTGGAAGGTGGCATTCAGTGGCCTTTTGGTGTTATGTGCGGTCTTTCCCAATTGCTACTTAGTGTTTTATAAACCTTTGTTTACTTAATTTACAGGTTCAGCTCGCCATGATCTTGAGTCTTCATCTGTGGACACAGTTTGATTTTTTTGGGTGGAAAGACAAGCCCAAGACACAATTGAGCAGCCAAGTTATACTGTAACTGAATGATGGGGAAGATGGGGCCTCAGATAGAGTAGTTTACTCCCTTTACTGTTTGAAGAGAGGTGAGGGCTCCACCTGATGTTTTATTTGTTCATCTTGAGGACAATTATTTGGGTCTGTTAGGAGGCCAGGCATTGATCTTGCAAGCACAAAGAAATTTAAATTATAGGCAACATTGGCCTGGAATTTTGATTGCCTGTTCATCGCTACTACCACACTTGAGGTTGCTAGAGAATTGTGATTCTTAAAAAATGGATTTGGCCCAATGTAAGTTCAACAAAGAAATGAGGAATGCCATGCTGCAGACAGGAGATGGCGCAATCCCTCACATGAGCTTTGTGTTTGGGTGGCTGGAGCATTTTTGGGTTGATGGTGTACAATTTTCAGTTGAGGGGAACATGTTGTTCTTGGATTATTTCAAGGAGGAAATCAAGAAGATAGTAGCTAGTCTGGCGGGGAAAAGGGACTAGGCAGACATCTTTCCCCTTTGGTGGCATGTAAAAGGTTACATAGGCCTGGTAGGCACCATGGCACCTACTTTTGAGGGTGAAGGGTGGACTTCCATAAAAGTCTCTTTAGACTTTGTAGCGCAGGGGGGCTGTAAGTGGAGGGTTTCCCATGAGACTTCAATGAGGGGTTCTCACTCTTAAAAAAACTCTTATGTTTGGGAGGGAGAACCCTCAGGATGGTCTTCCACTTAATATTGGTCAAGGTGTGCTGCCAAAGGTTTTGGGGGTGCCCTCAGGATCTATGGTGCTAGAATAAGGATGGCTACTGATACCATTTTTCAATTGAAGATCCCATATCCAAACTGAAACTACTTTACTAACCAGAAGAAATGAGTACTGATCACTACTACATGTTCTTGTGTTTGGAAATTCCGTGTTCTTTTTGACCTTATGCCTGAAATCAGTATTCCAAAGGGGCGTAACTACTTAATATATTCAGTAGGAAGGGCAATGTACATGCTGTTCTCTGTTGGGAAGAGTGGATAGTGATGACTTTTTAGTTTGCTGGATGAACAAACTGGAACTTTCTGTTTGACAATGGGTACATTTGCAATTCCATTTCAAATTCTGTTTGCATATTGATTACTGTCTTGGACATCTGGGTAACATCAGGAAATGCAATGTGCACATATGTAAGATAATTTTATGGCTCAAATATGATTATCAACTTGATCCCCACACCCATTCTCGGGGTTCAGTATTTTCCTTGAGGTGAAGTATTTCTCTTTGAAGATATGTAGGAAACCTCCTACATCTCAGCTTAAAGAAACCAACCAACCTGAAAGCCTGTGAATGACCTGCCCATGAGAAAAATGTAATGTAGGTTGAAATTTGATATCAGTAGTGAGATGTTTCAAACACATGTCTTACTGATGTGAGGTTACACCTGCAAATATTGGGCAACATTCTGGAGCAGGAGATGTATAACAATTGTATAATGCCCTTATGTCTACAATCTCTACAAATATACCTTATCTCGCTGAACTCCTATCTTGCAGGGAACAGGGGACCAGCAGAGAATTGTCCAGTCCCTACAACTATTGGTTGTAGTGTGTTCAGTACAGAATTCCAAGCTCTATAATGGCCAGAAAGCTGAGCTACAATGTTCTAAGTTGGACTCAGGTTTCACTTATGTAGATAGTGTTCCTTTGTTAAGGTTTTTGAAAAAAGAATAAAAAAAGAAAGAAAGAATGTACCGTATATTCCGGCATATAAGATGACTGGGCATATAAGACGACCCCCAACTTTTCCAGTTAAAATATAGAGTTTGGTATATACTTGCCGTATAAGACCACCCCTCTTCCATCGCACACCAAATAAAAATAAAAAAATAAAAACATCAGATTTGATTTCAAATCCAAGACTATCAAAGCAGTATCCAGCTCTTCGGCTTAGAAATGGAGATGAGCGCCAACCCCCAGAGCCGGACACGACTGGACTTAACGTCAGGAGAAAACCTTTACCTCACCTGTAAACTCCTGTATGTTTATTATTTATTTAACAGTTGTGGGTCCATGGAGCGTAATAAAGTTCTATAAATTTTTACCTTACCTTACCTAGAGTGAGACCAGGGCCGGGTCCAATGTCCTTTCCCCAACAACAACAACAATAATGGAAATCTAGAATTGGAAGGGACTCCAATGGCCATCCAGTCTAACCCTAATTCTGCCAGACAGGAACACATGTCCAAGCCCTCCCGACAGATGGCCATCCTGTTCTACTTAATAATAGCAATAATAACAACAACAATAATAGAAGGGACCTCAATGACCATTCAGTCCAACCCCATTCCTGCCAGGCAGGAAGACACAATGCAAGCCTTCCTAACAGGTGGCCATACAACTCTGCTTAACAATAACAACAACAACAGAACGCTTGAGTTGGGACTCCAATGGCCATCCATTCCAACCCACTCACTCTTGCCAGGCAGGAAGACACAATGCAAGCCTCCCCAACAGGTGGCCATCCAGTTCTAGTTACCATATACACTCGAGTATAAGCTGACCCGAATATAAGCTGAGGCACCTAATTTTACGACCAAAAACTGGGAAAATTTATTGACTCGAGTATAAGCCAGGAGAGGGAAATGCAGCAGCTAGTGGTAAACTGAGGGGACAGAAGTTGTCATAAAGCCATCTTGTGCAGCTTCCAAAACCCAACACGTGAGAACATTTTGCACTGCAGCCAGATATTTCCAAGGTCATGCCCAAAGGGTTTGATGAATATACCCTTTTTGAGGTAGATCTAAATCAGGCATGGGCAAACTGTAGCCCTCCAGGTGTTTTGGACTTCAACTCCCACAATTCCTAACAGTCAGTATTTGAGAACACAGAAATGCTGGACCACTCTCACAACCACCATGTCAGACTCCACAGAGAAGCCATTGAAATCCACAAGCATGTGGACAATTTCAACAGAAAGGAGGAAACCATGAAAATGAACAAAATCTGGCTACCAGTATTTAAAAACCTCTAAAATCAGGACAGTAAATAAAGAACAATACTCAAAAATGGGAATTCCAGACAAACAATCAGAGCCAGCTTACACCTCCCAACAAAGGATTCCCCCAGGCAGGAAGCAGCCAGGCTTTGAAGCTGCAAGGCCATTCATTGCTAATCAAGGTAGCCAATGGCAACATTCCCACTTGCCTCAAGCAGACAAGAGTTCTTTCTCCCACCCTGGACTTTCCACAGATATATAAACCCCACTTGCCATGTTTCCAACAGACCTCACAACCTCCAAGGATGCCTGGCATAGATCTGGGCAAAACATCAGGAGAGGACACTTCTGGAACATGGCTATACAGTCTGGAAAACTCACAGCAACCCAATGCCTGGTGTTAGGAATTGTGAGAGTTGAAATTAAAAACAATCTGATAGAAAACTGGGACTTGTAGTTTGATATGGTACTGCCTCTCTTAAACAGGGAAGGCTAAGGACCTTGTAAAACTACAACTGCTGTGACTCCATGGCACTGAATCTGTGGCAGTTTTTTTTGGGGGGGGGATTCCCCTTTAAGAGTAGATGGCCCTTGCACTGGGACTTCCCCTTTAAGGCTGCCTCGTTCTTGGCTGCAGAAACAAAACAAAACGGGGGAAAGAGACCTTTTTCTTCCTCCCTCTGCAGGCTATTTAAAACTTTTAAAACTTAAGAGCGGCTGTTCTTTCAGAGGGAGCTGAGCACAGAGACAGGAAAGAAACCCCAAAGAGGGGAGAAAGAAGAAGTTTCTCCAGCAGGACTTTCTCGGAGGTGCCTTTGTTTGGACTCTCCTTGAGTAGCACTGTTTGAGGAAGGAGAGGAGAGGGAGAAAGAGGCCGGGAATGGGAGGCTTGGGGGCAGCCTCTTCTGCCCCTTTTTCCTTCAGGAGGAGGAAGGGGAGGAGGAGGAGGAGCGGCAGTGCTGCCGGGGGTGATGGCCAGCTGGGCTTGTGCAAGGGCAAGAGCAGCAGGCTGCGCTGCTTGGGGATGGCGAGGGGGGAGGAGGAGGATCGGCAGGTCTGCCGGGAGTGCTGGCCAGCTGAGCTGCGATACCAGCAGGCTCCCTTTGGCCTCTGATGGCTGCTCGCGTCCCTTGCTCTCGGCATCCTCAAGTGGTGGAACTTATAGCCGGCACACAAGACGACCCCCCCACTTTTAAGATGACTTTCTTGGCTTAGAAAGTCGTCTAGTATGCCGGTTTTTACGGTATTTAAAAAAACAAAATGCTTTATTTTTAAAAGAATTGCTTTGAAAGCAATTGTACTGCTTCTTGGCAGGGGGTTGGACTGGATGCCCCATGAGATCTCTTCCAACTCTATGATTCTAAGACCACAAAGATTTAAATGCTGCACTTGAAATTGATAGAAAAATAAGGGATCAGCAGTGCAAGCCTACACTAGCACAGTGAGCCCTTTGTATCCACTGATGTTTGGCTCTAGGATGTCATGTATATCCAAATCCATTTATATTTAAGTCCCATTATATGCATGTATGTGTGTGATATTTTCAGGCCCTGACTGCTCAGATCTATGGATACAGACTTGATTGATATGAAGGGCTAACTGCATATGCAGAAGGAAGACCAAGTGAATTCAGTGGGACTTATTTTCAAGTAAATATCCATATAAATTAACAAAATAAAGGGAGTGATTGGACTATTGGAGAACCATTTCCCCTTAGATTTCTAATCAGTTTTGCAACTTTAGGGTCAATTGTTGTTTTTCTTGCCAGACAGAAAGTACCTACAGAAAGGCAGGTCCATGTGTCTGGATGTGAGAGAAGCTACATAAACAATGTGCCTGTATACATTTCACCCTAATTTGTCATGAACTTAATGAGCAATATCCTAAAATACTTGTAGTACTTGAAAACAAACTTTGGCTTTGAGAAATGGGGATATTTCTATAAACGCCTGCCGTTTCTTTAAATGTTTTAATATTACCTCATCTCCCTCCATTCCTCTGAAGTCCTGGTGAAGAGGAAATTAAGGGAGACAGACTGAACTATGGTGCTAAGGGAGTCCCTTGATTTGGTCTGTCACAGTTTTAAGCCTGCTTGGGGCCTCGGGGGAGTCTGCCTGCTCTTATGCCTCCTCTGCAAAGCAGACAGTAACGGCCCAGTGCTTTTATTCATTACCCTCAATGTAATGCACTAAATTTAACAAGTTGCACCCTCAGTGGGAATTTATTGGCCTTTTGCAGCATCATTGGAAAGTAGGAAGTGTATCAGGATTCCAATTACTGCTGATCCTGGCAACAAAATCCATCTAAGGTTTTAATTTATCTGATGTGATAGTTTGTATACATTATAAAAAGGGAGGGGGAGGTGCTTAAACCATATTCTTAAAAGTAACAACGTATTTGTACTAACTCTAGGAATGAGTTAGCTGACCTTTCTCCCCAAATGTATTGACCTTGTACCTCTTCACAAATATATCTGCCGATCCTCCTCCTCCCCCCTCGCCATCCCCAAGCAGCGCAGCCTGCTGCTCTTGCCCTTGCACAAGCCCAGCTGGCCATATCTGTGAAGTTTGTAGACGTATAAGAATAAAATGAAGTTCTAGCAAAGATGAGGATAGGGATAAAGGAAAATAATAAAAACTATAAGAGAGTGGGTGCAATCCATCTGCTTTAAAAGTGAAAATACCATCCTGTTCTGCTGCCCTTCACTTCAGCAGAAAATGGAGGGATTTCGGTGCCTGTGACTGGAACTAATCCTTCTGATAGGAATACCTAACTAAATTATTTCAGCATCTTTCATTCACTTCTATTGAATCTCAAGAGATCTATTTCTATTTGTTTTTTTGTCATACTGGCACTATGTTGGATAAATGTAGTTTCTGGTAGCTTGATAGTTATTATTAAAAATAGGCCTAATAGTATACCCAAGATTATACCATGCCATAAACTCTGTGTTGACCAGATATTAATATTGAAATACAGTAAGTAAAATGTAAATTAAAACAAACACAAATTTAACTTAATAGAACATAGTTTAACTGTATTATAAAAACAGCTTTATGAATTCTGTATTATTTCTTTGATCCCCTTGCAGATGATTGTGAGTTACAGTTAACTGAGAGTCTACTGTATGTATTAAACTGCAGCAATACTATTTTTGGTAGCATAGTGGGTAGCTGCGGTAGCACAGTAGGTTAAACCACTAGCTGTAGGAAGCTATTGACTGGAAGGTTGGCAGTTTGAATCCGTGAGTTGGGGTGAGCTCCCAACTGTCAGACCTAACTCCTGCTAACCTAGCAGTTGGAAAGCATACAATGTGAGTAGATCAATAGGTACCACCTCAGCGGGAAGGTAAAAGGGTGCCTTATGCAGATATGCAGACATTCCAGCAACATAATCAGAGATGTCTGTGGACAACAGGCTCCTCGGCATGGAAAAACAGAACAAGAGTACCTCCCCATGGCTGGAGTTGAGCATCACCTCCAGAGATGGAAAAAAGGGGAAGTCTTTTACCTTTTTTTTTTTTGTGATGTATGTCATTGTTTGTGTGTGTAAAAGGGCATTGAATCTTTGCCTCATATGTGTATTTTAGTCCCTCTGGGGAGATAAAGCTGAATATAAATAAAATGTATTATATTATAAAATTGAAAGTTTAAAAATCTTCTATAGATATGACTTTCTGCATGCTACAGGTACTACTGGGTATTCCTTTTGGTCTGTAACTGTTCTGCCATCTTTTTTTCATTTCATCTTATCACCTGTTCAGAATAGAAGATTGCAAGATGACACATCTCTTCATAGGCCTCATCTTCTTATTTTTAAATCATATAGAAAAGAAAAAAAACACCTTATTTTTGTAGCCAGGTTTTTTTTTTCTCTGCGGAAAAAGCCCCCACACAGGCTACTACTAGCTCGGGCTTGTTCTCATTAAATAGCTACTGCTCATGTAACAATAATTCTTCTGAGCTCCCTTTGAGAGCCACACTGCTCAAATGATACATGAGCACTGGTTGGGAAAGGAATTCTCTATAGGTTCCCTTTAACCTAAAATAAAGTGTATCTGACCTGTGCCAAAGACTCTTTAATCCTAAAATGCTCCCCTGTGGACAGATATAGTGTAGCGGTACTCCTGATTGGGTCAAAAATGTGCTGGCTTTGTCTCCAAGTTTTTACTTAGTGGCTAAGTTAAGTAACCTTTGGCTTTGCAGCAGAATACCTTTTCTTGGATTCTTACAATTTCATACCAAAGCCAATGCTGTGTCAAAAGTCCTCATAGTTTTCTTTCGTAAATTGTTTTCATTCCCTAAGGTACATCAATACTCCTTTAAAAAAATGTTTTGAAAATGTAGGACATATTCTGCCTTCTGATAGATTCTTAATTATCTTTGCATTGCAGTCATTATGCAATGCAAAGAGTCTCACTTAAGGGTGTTATGAGGACAGTTAGCCCATAGGCTATCTGTCATATGCAATTTGCATTGATATGGATTAAGGAGAAGTCAGAAAACTTTCTTTGGGGATTCTGATAATGAAAAAGGTAACTTTTCCGAGCTCTGGTTTATTTTAAAATACAA